AAATTTACCTTTGACTTCTACCATGTGCGCTGTCTCCCCTTATCAGCCACCTAACCAACTGGGGGAGACAATTTTTATCTGAAATGGTCATTAATGTATGTAGGGTTCCCTGGTTTCCTCCTGGATTTTGCAACCATTTTCAAAGTGACTTTTCATATATTTTTTTAGATGACAGAGCAAAAGAAGAGAAATGCAAGGTAAAAATCGTACCGTGGCCATGGGCAGTCCCTTTCCCTAGGATGTCAGTATCAGGGCAGGGGTTATAGGATAAGAGTAACGTTAACGCACGGGGGGTTACTTTATTGGCTGTTGGCTTGACTCTTGTAAAAAACCCCAAAGAAACTGATAGGACGCGCAACAAGCCTTTGATCTTAATTATTAAATGTACATCACTCCACAAAATGAGCACATCCTGGGTTGCTTTTTTTTTAACGCTCTCATTTGCCTAGGCCGTCACCCACAATACATAGGCAGAAGAGTTTTTTTTAACACCTTGTCATTAACTAATGTTGGCTTTTTTCCTAGCTAGACTCTAATTAATGTTTTTACAAGGGCAAAGTGTTACTGAGCGATTACAAGGGCTCAGTGCGCAGAGGGTGTTAAAGTTAACTGCACATGACATAGTGACAAACACTGTTGGGATCTGACTTATACGCCAGGAAGGAGGAGATGGGTTGGGAGAGCTGAACGGCAAATACAGTTTTTTAAATTGGAATCGGGGGTGGAGTGTTACAATTGTATTTTGGTAAAAATTGAAAATTTGTTCTAACATTTAACTCACTGGAGACGTTTCACACAGCATTTGCGAGCACCAACATTTTTTCGAGAGGGGATTCACGCACCCCCCCCCCCTCCCCCTGGGAGCACAAGTTTCACGTTTTCTCCTCGGTAAAGTATGCGCGCAAACGTTGCGTGAGCCGTCTCTTACCACACAGCCAACAGCGAATTTTCACTGGAATTGGCCGGACTTGCCTGATTCCACCACATCGAGACACACATGAGTAGCTCCACTAATTTTCACTCACCACATAAGGCAAAGTCAAACAGTGTGACTAATTTATCTTGCTACTGCAAAGAAATGCTTAGTCCCCATGCCAGGCAAGTATTGTAAGATCAGAACTTCCCAAACAGTCAGTTGCTGCTGCAAGTGTTCAGTAACAAATCTGAGTGACCAGAAGAAGTTGAGGTGTGAGCCAGAGTCTGGCCTACATCTATTTTACTTCTGTTTCTTTCTGGTACACTCCCTCTCAGCAAAGTTCCCTGAGAGGCTTTTGTGCTCAACCTTTTTAAACCAACTTATCTTGTGTGACAAACAGGACAATACGAAAAACTGAGCTGGGGGGGCTCCTGTAGGCTTTAGGTCACCTAGTCGCCTCTCATTTAATAGGTTCTTGGTTTAAAACCTGACAGCGACGGAAAATTTTATTCTCTAAAATGTTCTCCTTTCACCTTCTGTCCTGCTCTCTGATCATATTATGTTGTATGCTTTTGTCTCCATTTTCTGCTCCCACCCCTTTCTCCTTTGCCCCCTCCTCTGGGCTCCTGACTCTTTCTGCAGCCTTTCTACTGCTACTCCTTGGCTCCTTCTAGCTGCTTTCTTTCAGTCACATCCCTGAATTTATGGCAGGAAAGACCTAACACCTGGCCTTCTCGGATAAGTGCGAAAAATCTCGGAGGTCTCATGTGCAAGTTGCGCACCTGAAAGATCCCCTGGTGGTTCTATAATTGACGAGTAGGCTTCGACCGCCATCCAGGCAAAATTCAAAATTCCTACCAAACTGAAAATGCTCAAAGTGTCCCATGCGCTCATATCACCTTACGTAGTTGCAAGCGCCGAAAAACACTTACAACCCCCCCCCCCCCCAAAAAAAAACACAACAACAACAACCCAACAACTGAGCTGATCAGGATAACTGACAACAGGAAGGAATGGGACACCGTGATTGTCAAAGTCTGCTCTAGACCTGACACATGAAGTAACAGAATCCTGTGTCTAGTTGGGGAGGTGGGGGGAGAGAATGTTCACTACACCAACCTTTACTGACCTGATTCTGTTCTATGAGAAGCTCGAGGTAAGCATCTGTCTCCATGAGTTTTTTCTCAAAGTCCTCTAAAGTTGCTGCATGTTCTGAGGATGCATTCCTCTGAAAAGACAGAAAATAATGAATGTCATACTGGGGGAACCTTTCCTCTTTAAGTTTTAAGTTCATCTGCAAATGAAGCAGCTGTATTTACTTGTGCCTTAAGAATCATAGGCTACAACCTAGAAATTACTTTAAATCTTTTCAGACAAAGTGAATAAGTATCGTTATACAAAAAGTTGCCTTCAAGATGAATAAATGATTTATCTGCGATTATTGATAGCTTTGCTTAGATGGAATCTTTATTGGTCAAGTGGACCCGATCTGCATGATCAGATCGGGTTGGGCTGGGTTGGGAAATGACACACTGTCAAAATAGGCCACTGCATCGCTACATAAAAACCAACCGATGTTTGTTGTTGTCCACTTGCAAATATCTGATCCCGAATGTCATGTGATACGTAGCGACCTTCTGATCTGGCAACAATTTTCATCAAATCCACCAGCTCGTGAACCCATGAATCAATCGCCGTGTTTGATTTTTAAACATAGGATCGAATCACATCAAAATGGTTCATGCACCTTCATGGAGGAAAATCAAATGAATCAAATATCTGTCAAAAAATATGACTTGATGAAAATTTGAGTGGGAACTGTTTATTATTGGTCTCACAATGACAAATTCATCCTGGTTGTAAACGACAGCTTTAACAATTCTAAATGAGTGTTATGACTAAAATAAAATTTCATGCATCCTGCAAAACAAACACACACTTTCAAGTCAAATTGTTAAAATCAGAGCAAACAAATTTCTGAGTCACCAGTAGTTTTTGTGCAGTGTGGAGAGAAAAGAAACAATAATATGCTATAGTTTCTAGAGGTGCATGATCAACATTTTGGTGAAACAATGCAAAGCTGACCACATGATTTAAAGATCTATGTCCTCTTTGGTTTGAGACTGCAAGGGACAAGGCATTCATTTAAGACAAAAACCTCTACATGAAAAACTGTTTTAAAAAAGTGCAAATACTGATTTTTTAAAATCACTCTTCACATCAAGAGCAAAGACAGAAAAGAAAAAAAAGAAAGAAAAAAAATGAAGAAATACAAGAACACTCCTAATAAAAACCTGACAAATGAATATTTAGAGGAAAAAAACAACAACTATTTACCTGACCGCTCATTTCACAGATTGCACTCTCAAGAGCTTCAATCCACCTTTCTCTTTCCTCTTCATCACGGGCTAAGGAAAGAACATATTTATTCAACTAGTGTTCAGATGACAAAGTTTCATCAGCATGCATTCTCATTGACAACTTAAAATTATACGTTTCAGTGTGATATACTCAGCTTTAAACAAATATTCTCGGCAGAAACTTTCATTTCCTGAAGTCCCGAGTCCCATCTACTTTTTTACTCTTTAAGGCCACACTCTACTTCTTAGCACCAAAATCTAAAGCTTAGTGATTTTTATTTGTTTTTTCTCATTTTCTCAAAGTATTCCATTCAAGGATTAAAAATAATCAGTTTTGGGAATCATTACCAGTTACATAATCACAGAAATGGCAAATTAGAGTGAAACCGGGCTATCTGAAGGACCATTTTCAAAAGCTAAAAACCATCCATGCTATCTATGAACTAATTACATATTTGTAATCTAAACAAATCTTGAGAAAATGACGTTAGCTTTTCTTGAAATAGTAAATATTAATGATTTTATTACTTTTAGAAGACTTGCATATTAGCGAATGACAAAATAATCAAAATACCAAAGTAAAAAAATCATTAAAAATAGTTTTTTCCCCCAAAAAAATTACAAAAAGCTACCATTATTTTATTTGGAATTGCATGGTACATTTACCTTCCAAATTTCATGTCTTTATCTTGAATGTTTTTTAGAGTTTTGAGTTTTTAAAGCCAAGAAATGAACATTTTGAGGAAAGGAGCAAAAACATCTCAAAATTGCTTTAAAGCATTGTATTGGCTCACAATGTTTCAAACGGCATGGAGCTTTCTCTTTGAAATAGAGCTCTGGGAGTACTTCTATCCAATCTAGCACATAATGTTCACAGGAAGTATCTTAAAATCAAAAAACATTGTAGGGACCCAAACTGGACACCAAAAACCCGTGTGTGGCCTAAAGAGCTATCTAAAACATACCTGAGTAATATGTACCTTTCGCTGTGCTGTTCACTTTTCTAGGGAATTTAGAGACTGAAATTCTGTGTACAACATATATTGAGAATAAACAAAAATGACAAAAAGTGATAGCTTTACTGTTCTCAGGAATGCAATATATCAGCTACAGTGCAAAGGCGAGTTTTTCAATAGTGCATGTAAGTTTGGTAAACAGTGGAAACTTGAAACTCATCCCCATCTCCCCCCCACCCTCCATCACGCACACATGATATGTATGCATTTTCAAATCCTTTCCCCCCCCCCCCCTGCTCCAGACCCCTACCCACTAGTCCAATTGGGAAAAAAAAATTCCCAAGTGTTAATACCTCGGAGCAAGGAGAATGATATTCCGACTGATCAGCATCATCACTATCATGATACCCCCCCCCCCCCCCCCCCCATCGGAAACTTCAAACTTGACATTTAAGCTCAAGGAAAGATTTTTACTTGGGCAGCAATAAGTAAAGGACCCAATATCAGAGTAAGTGATTAAATTTCTTAAATGAATACACTGAAATCAATAAGCTGAGCTCCCTTGATGAAAGCAAGTAAGTAGAGGGCAACTGTGCCAATCTTTGAGAAAAACATTTCAGGCTGGGCAAATGATCAGCTGAGCAGCAGACAACAATACTGTGAACGTACAAACCTTGAAAATGGAATGTCTTGTGGTCAACTGTGATGGTGAAAGTACTATCGTCTTCATCATCAATGCCAATAACAGCACCCTGTATTAGACACATCCTTGTTAGCAACTGTTCGCATTTAAAGAAACAAAAGGTCTCAAGCTGTGTGCATCCAGAGTTCTCCTTTGAATAGTGCCATACATTTTATTATGATGCCTTCTACAAAAAATGACAGAAAAGATAGTATTCTTCCAGATCTACCTGTTTTAGTGTTATTAACATTTATTGGATCTGGGTAATAAGGTTAAGATGTGTTTCCCTACTCTAATATATAATCCTTACTCCTTATTACCTGGATCCAGCAAATCTGACTAAAATGTGCAGGTCAGGAACAACTCTGGAGAATTGACAATGTAGAAGTTCAATCAGGGAACCATTGTTCTTTAATTTCACCACATTTCTTTAATTCAAAGTCATCATCTGGAGTATAATATTGTTGAGCAATACAGTTGAACCTGCCCTTTGAAAAAGGACTATGTAGTGAAATCGAGAAAGTTTAAAGATGGGCTACTAAAATGCTGAGTCACCTCAAAGAAAAGCCTTATTCTGAAAGTCTGAAGAAATTAAAGCTTTCCATTCCTGGAATCATAGGTGACGTGGTGATATTACTGATACAAGTACATCAAAGGCTACTACATCACCAAAAGACCAGCTTTTACAAAAGCAACAACCACACAACTCCATGGCAACCCAGAGCTCCAGAAGCAAAGAAGCAGATTAAGTGTGTGAGGGTAAACTTTTTTGAAAATCAGGTTAATACTATTTGGAACAATCTCTCCGAGTCAGTGGTGTCAGCCCCAAATGTGGACACGTTTAACAGACGTCTGGACGAATACTGGAAAGATCTCCCGACTATCTACAACCCTACTTGCCAAAACTGATTTGTCTAGCCTGCACGCAATGCATAGTCATTCATTACCAGATAGTCGATCAGGCTTTACTTTAGAGCCTCAAACAACTAAATCGTCAATGTCAATGTCAATACATACATAAATCATATAAAAATGACACTGTCCAAGTGGACCACTTGCCTTACATGACCATTTTTCTCCATGACAATGGGTGGTCATCTTGGAAAGGTTTGATTGTATTCTTCAAAGAAGCTGCATGGACAGGTCTTTGACTTCAGCAAACACAGTTTATGAAACAACATATGAAACTACAATCCAAAGTGTTTAAATTAATTACTTCTCAAAAGTAAATGATTCTAATTGCCAGAGACAGTAATTAGGATCCTTTACCTCAAAAAAAAAAGTTTGTGCATGTACAAACAACAGTAGTAAAAATAATTAAGAACAGCAGTGCCAAGAGGAAAAATAGGATTCCTTTTTTTTTTCAAGGAAGAAAAAAAACTGAAACAGTGCGAGGAAAAGACTACTTTTATGTTTGGTATGATACAATACCTTTAATCTCACACATCCGCGTCGTGACCCTTTCACCATCTTCTCTTTAGACTGAAAAGCAAGAAAAATATTCAGTTTCAAAAGAGATGTTTTTATATAACATATGAACAATTCTGGGTTTTTTTATGTTCAGATGAAAGTAAAGTTTGCAGACAGGCAGTTTACTTGGAGTCTTAGATCGTGTTGAAGTATTTTTTTGTCTTCCAAACTAACATCCCCCCCTCCCCATGTTCCCCTCCATGTTTCAAAACCACCCCCGCATAACAAAATTTACATACCAATGCAGCTGTCTGTACACTTAATATTTATTAATCATTACATTTTGCACTCACTCTGAACCAGAAATACATGAATACAGTATCAAAACGGTGATATTGGGAAAAAAAAAGCGAGTAGTCAGTACAGTGGAATCCATCTTAGAGCAACCCAGATATAAGCAGCCTCCTCCTAACAGCGTCCTAAGCTTGTGTGTAGCAGAAAGTTTCCTAGAGATATAAAACCCCACTTTTCGAATTGAGCCGAACTACGGGGGTCGCCATTTTGTTTTGCCTGGAAGTTCTCGCGAGATCTACTCCTCCCCTCTTCTCTCTCTCTTCTATCTCTTTCTGAATACTGTCTATCGGTGTGGACGATCAAATTGACCAAAACAAAGTTAAAAAATGATGTTAAAACACAAAAGTAAATTAATTTGGTCGTCTACAAAGACGCTACGGCTATTTAACTTTTCGAATCGAGCAGAACTACGCGGGTCGCCATTTTGTTTTGCCCGGAGTTCTCGCGCTACTCCTCTCTCTTTATCTTTCTCTCTCTCTCTCTCCACTGCCCACAGACAAAATTGTACGCTTTTAGTAGGCTAACAGTAGTAAAGGAACGTTTGTTCACGGCACAGAATTCTATGTACAATTTTTCTGTTATCACAGTGTAGAATTCTGTGGTTTAGGGTGAATGCAAAATTAGTTGGCCTAGATCGAGGCTATAACGGTGAACGCGCACCGGGTGAGAATAGCCAAAAGACTCGCCTGCTCTATTCTCACTGGAAGTGGCTATTCTCACCCGGGGTGAGAACAGAAATACGATCGACCTCTCACCCCGGGTGAGACTTGCCACCGTAGGCTATTCTCACCCGGTTTGAAACAAGACCTGTTTTTCCTCATTTCGGAATACTTTCTATCGATGTGGATGATCAAATTGATAAAAGCCAAGAAAAAATTACGTTATAGCACAAAAGTAAGCTAATTTGATCGTCTTCAAAGATGCTATGGCTATTTCACTGTTCGAATCGAGCCGAACTACGCGGGTCGCCATTTTGTTTTGCCCGGAAGTTCTCGCAAGATCTACTCCTCCCCTCTCTCTCTCTCTCTGTCTCTTTCTGAATACTGTCTATCGGTGTGGACGATCAAATTGACCAAAACAAAGTTAAAAAATGATGTTAAAACACAAAAGTAAATTAATTTGGTCGTCTACTAAGATGCTACGGCTATTTAACTTTTCTAATCGAGCCGAACTACGCGGGTCGCCATTTTGTTTTGACCGGAAGTTCTCGCGCTACTCCTCTCTCTCTTTCTCTCTAGTCTCTCTCTCTCTCCACTGCCCACAGAAAAAATTGTACGCTTTTAGTAGGCTACAATTGTAATGGAACGTTTGTTCACGGCACAGAATTCTATGTACAATTTTTCTGTTATCACAGTGTAGAATTCTGTGGTTTAGGGTGAACGCAAAATTTGTTGGCCTAGATCTAGGCTATAACGGTGAACGCGCACCGGCTGAGAATAGCCAAAAGACTCGCCTGCACTATTCTCACCCAGGGTGAGAATAGAGGTGGCCTTCAATCAAACGCAAAAACGCAATTTGAGGCTAAAAACAAAGGAAAACAAAAGTGCACGCACCGAGAAGGCGCACGCGCAGGGGCTACACCACTCTAGATCTAGTCTAGATCTAGAGTAGAGTCTAGAGTCTAGGTCTAGAATCTAGATCTAGATATATATATATCTCTAGATTTCTAGAGATCTAGATCTAGAACTAGATCTAGATATCTATATCTAGATCTAGATCTAGATTATAGATCTAGATCTAGATCTAGAATCTAGTTTTGAGAGAGCGAGTGAGTTGACAGCGTGCATGTGTGCAAGATGATTTTAAGTATGCGAGTTAGTGTTTACATGTGTGTGCACACATTAGTATGTGGGCGTGTGTGTGTGTGTTTGGGGCTAATATTCAGTGACAGACACTGGTGCCACTGGTGGGAGGGGGCCAGGGCCCTCCCCCTCTCCCAACAAAAAACCTTCAAACTACTCTGTCCTCTTCCAATATCGGAACTGCCTCACACTCCTAATCATAAAAATCTCGACAGGAAACTAGTTTCCAGAAGAAATAAATGACATACTGTGTAATAGGAAAGAATTCCAGATGTATGGTCCAGAACAAACCATCGGTATTGCCATCCTTTCATTACATTCGTCCACTTGCTTAGTGGCCCTTCCATTTTGATCGCCATATTTACTTTACGCACAGCTGCTGATGTCAAAAAGGTGGTTCGGGTGTAACATACCTTATAGAAAAAAAAATTAAATAGATATCTATACATTCATACAATTAAAAGTAATACATTTTATTTTACGTCACATGAATACAAACCTAAATTATTTATTTAGTTTTTAAATATGTTCAAATCAAAATCACATCCAGTCTGGTATTAAATAAGAAGTAGAGATTTTTGTTCTAGGCCTATCCAATGGAATTAGGGGACAGAAAGGCACTATTTTTAGCCAACCAATTACAAGAGCGAGGTTGTTTTGAAGAACTTGTGTACTGTAGGCCCTACTTGTGTTGTTGTGTGTGTGTGGGTCGCCTCTAGGCAAGGAGACCAAGTTGTGAGTGGTGTGTTGAATGTTCATGTCGTAGAACTGGACATGAAAACAAAAACATGGTGAAACGGAATACTTTACAAGAGAGTAGTTACTTTTAGGTTAGGACAGTTTTGACGGAATTATGGAATCTACCACGGATGCAGCAATTATTGGCCCGTATAAAGCTACTCGACTGGTGAGAATTTAAATTTAACTCTGAATTAGAATGATGATGCCAGCTTCGAATCTTGGTCTTGATGAAGACTTTCATCTAGATCTACAATCTAGATCTACAATCTAGATCTAGAGTCTAGAATCTAGATCTAGATCTCTAGGGCCTAGATCTAGATAATCTAGACTCTATATGTTTTAGAAGAAATCATTCACACTCACACTCACACAGTCTGATATTAATAAACACAAAGCCATCATGTTGAGCTGCTAGAAATCTAGATCTTCTAGACTCACAATTTGAAGAAAGGCCACCTAATAGTGCAGGCGGGTCTTGTGGCTATTCTCACCCGGTGCGCGTGTCAACAAATTTTGCGTTCACCCTAAACCACAGAATTCTACACTGTGATAAGAGAAAAATTGTAGAATTCTGTGCTGTGAACAAACGTTCCATTACAACTGTACTTGTAGCCTACTAAAAGCGTACAATTTTGTCTGTGGACAGTGGAGAGAGTGAGAGAGAGAACAAAACAAAATGGCGACCCGCGTAGTTCTGCTCGATTCGAAAAGTTAAATAGCCGTAGCATCTTTGTAGACAACCAAATTAATTTACTTTTGTGTTTTAACATCATTTTTTAACTTTGTTTTGGTCAATTTGATCGTCCACACCGATAGACAGTATTCAGAAAGAGAGAGAGAGAAGAGGGGAGGAGTAGATCTTGTCTTGCGAGAACTTCCGGGCGGGTGAGAATAGCCACTTTCTTGAAGAAAAGAACAATGTCATTCAATCGAGCAGTTTCTCTCTCTCTCTCTCTCTCTCTCTCTCTCTCTCTCTCTCTCTCTTTCTCTCTCTCCCTCTTTCTCTCCTCTGTCCCTGTGTATCGCTCGCATTCTCTTTTTCTTTGTGTCTCTGTCTTTCTTTCTCCCCACCTATTTCCCACTCTATCTTTCTCTCGTTCCCTCCTGTCAACTGGGGCATGTCATGCTTTTCCCCGCCCCAAGAGTAGAGTATGTTTCACGTGAAAAGGCGGCTCTGGCGGAAGTGTATGTGACACCGAGGCTCGATCAGGAAAATCAAGAACTTCCGCTACCACCCAGAAATTTGCCGGCGATAGACTGATTATAGGCCTAACGCAACATTTGCGACATGCAGGTTGTACAGTATAAACACTGCCTCTGTGCTAATAAAATTGAATCATTACTCAGACTCGTTAGTACCGTGATGCCACTTGTGT